AGAGACGTGCCTGAGGCTGATCCTTGGGGAAATGCAGGCCGCCCAGCTTCTGCACCCACACATAGGGATGCCCCAGCTCTGTCACATAGTCACTCAAGGTCAGGATGCTGAAGAACAAAGAGGAAAGGTCACACGGAGCACTTCCTCCTCCATGAGGGAGCAGGCATCATCTTCTTCCACCCTGAGCCAATGCCAACTAGCAGGACACCGGCTGCACGAGGTCCACTCACCCCACTTTGTCAAACTGGAACTGGTTGGCTGGATTGGGGGTTTTCTTCCCATGGTCTCCCGGGTACAGGCAGCTCAGGAGGGAGTCTGGGGAGAGCAAGTCGCTGGCAGGAGAAGGAAGAGAGGAATCATGCAGCAGCCCAGGCCTCACGTCTTTCTGGGGCACCTGCTAACAGGCTACGAGCCCAGAGATTGGGGATGGATGACCCCCAAGCTGGGTTTCATGACACCCAGAGTGGTCTTCCCATAGTTCTGCTCTTGAAAATCTGTCTCCCTGGTTGTAAAGAAACTGGAAATCACAGTGCACCATCTCTCTGAGTTCCCAGGAGCTGCTCATAGGCACGCTGCACAAACTCTGAAACCTACTGATGGCAATCTGGGTATGGAAAAAGCAGAAATCATAGCATACAGAGGGCATGGTCTGCATGGCATGCCAGCCAACAAGCTAAGGTAAAATCCCTCTGCTAAAAAAGAATACATTTCTTCACGTCTGACCACACTCACAAGCCCTAGGAAGCACAAAGGGCTGTAGGGGATCTAGGCTGGGTCACAGGAGACTCAAGAGACATCCTGCTATCACAGCGTCTCCTAAGCAAGGACCCTGCCTGCAGGGGTCTCACCAGGGAACGAGTCAGGGCTAAGGAGACTCCTCCACATGATTCATCCCAGCAGGAAGGCCTGGCATGGAGGGGTTTGGGTACATACAGAGAAAAAGAACCCAGGAGGACTGGGAGGCCTCATGGGAACAGCCTGGGAGGCAGCGTCTGTTTTCGGGTATTTCATGCCACCTTCTCCTGCTTCCCTCTTCCTCAGCCACCTTCCAGCCTAGGAGAGCTTGCAGCTGACCTGAGCTCCCTGGGCAAGCTCCCAAAGCTGCCACTGCAGCCAGTCCTCACACAGATCAGGCTTCAGCAGTCCCTGGGGAGCCCACAGGAAGGAAGCTGCATCACTGGTACTGAGTGCAAGGTGACCTGCAGATCAACCAGGTGAAAGGAGCTGCCAGGTAATGGCTGCAGGAGGGGGGAAAGCAGTTTGGCTGCAAGATGCCAACCAAAGGCAACAAGGAGGAGAGGTTCCCCTCCAGCTCTAAGAGGTTCCCAGCCTGCCCCGTTTTGCCATGGGGGATGGGGCAGATGAAGAGGAGGAGGATGCTGGCAGCTGCAGCAGCTTGGCAGGACTCCCAGAAAGGCCATGCTGCTGACAGGGAGGACACCGTCAGGGCAGGATAGACCTGCAAGGTGAAAGCACTCCTCACACAGAAGTGCAGAGGCTCTTTAGGGCCTCCTTACCATTCTAGTAGGAATCAGACCCTACAACTGCACAAAGATATCAGTGATGCCCCTGGTAAGGAGGAGAGAGGGACTGAGGATAAAACCTCACCCACAGCTCTCACAGAGCTGGGACTCACAGGGCACGGAAGGCTGTTAGCCTACAGCTCAGCAGAGGGACATCGCCACCACACCTCTGGTGCTGCATCGCTGTGCTTACGAGCAGAGCTGGGCAGGACATCAGGGCAGGGTGACTGTGACAAATTCTGGGCACAGCACAGGACCCACACACAGCCCGGGGCTCTGCTCACCCAGCACTGATGGCAGTTGCCAGCTCAGCAGCAGTGGTCACCTTGGTCTTCACAGTCATGATGTTGAGGTTCATCAAGTAGTAGAAGGTCAGGTGAAGCACATTCTCATCTGTGCCAGAAAGAAAGAGAAATATTGCTTCATGCTCTGGCTTGGAGCACTCGGTACTCAGAGCTTCCTGTAGGAAGGGGCACACATTCTTCTGCTGCCCTGCTAAGACAGCAAGGAACAGCTGCTCTCTGCAGACCTGTCAGGACCCTTCCAGCACTGAGCTGTGGCAGGTTGCTCCTTGACCTGCTCTCGCACCCCTCTGTGCCCAGGGCCACCAGCACCAGTTTACCTTTGCACTTCAGGTCGATGGTGACAGACAGCGGGTGCCGCTTCAGCATCTCCTTGCGTTTGTCATCCAGCTGCACACCCAGGGTGGGCCTGCGCCGCTTCTGGGGGGAGCAGAACGGCACTGTCAGCCCTGGACCAGCACTCCTCGGCCTCTCCTCCTCTTCTGCTGCTCTTTCCTTCCCTGCCCACCACTCTGAGTCCCAGTCTATCCCTGCTGGACTCCAGCCTCCTCGGCTGGAAACTATTTATACAAAGTGGAGCAGCTCCTGCAGGAGAGCTGCAGGGCGGACACCGCTGCGGATGGGATGTGAGCAGGGCAGCTTTGTACTCCTGCTCTCCTGTGCTCAGGACAGAAATTGGAAATGCAGCCTCTTTCCTCCCAGTCAACACAGAGTGCCCAGCTGAGGCCAGTTCTTCCTCCTTGAACACAGACAGATTTAAGGCCAGCACACCTCCCCACACACTGGCAGTGTCCAAAGATGAGTCCACAGACCCGTTGAGGCCCAGTAGCCCCAGCAGCTTCCAGCTCACAGGTGCAAATGAATTTGCCCACACCACACTGTGCTGGGAGAGGCCCCAGAAGGGGAGAACACTGTTCCTTACCGTGGTCTGCTCCTCCTCCATGTCAGAATCGCTCTCATCATCTATGCAAAGAGAGAAGCAAATCCCATGGTGAGGGGGTTTCCCCACAGCCAGCAGGGCCACCAAGCCCTCTCTCTGAGACCACAGCAATCCCAGGTTACCCAAATTGCTAGAGCAGGGACAAGGCAGGATGCAGGCCAACGGGGACATGACATCCTGCTCAAGAACATTCCCTCAGTACTAAGAGTCACTGTAACAAGGGGGCCACAAACACCTCTCAGGAATGATTACGGGATGAGGGTGATCAGCTCCCGGGGTTTCTATCCAGCATCTTCACATACCCAGAACACAATCCCTCTGGCTGCAGCAACACCACCCTACTCACCCTGCGAGTCCTCAGGTGGCTTGTACAAGGCTTTGGCTTCCTCTACGCTGCCTTCAATGGCCACAACAAGCTTCTTGTCTGTGGAAGAGACATGAAAATTAAGCCACGGATCCCACTCCTGTGTGGGAAAGACAGTAAAGGTTATGGTGCAAGCTGCCAAGGTTGGAGCTTGGTGAGCTACAACCCCAAAAGCACATGTCCATATGGTGTTTATTAAGCCCACAGAAAGGAAGTCAGGCTGCAGCCCTGCCCCAAGAAGCTCCTGCTCCATGGCTGCACAAGACAGAACCCCATAAAGCTGTAACAAATGGTCAGCAGGAAGAGGAGCTGTCAGTAGGGCCCCACAAGGCTAACGTGGGGCTGGATCTCCTGCTAGGATGGGGTCTGAGCAGGCAAAGCACTGCGTTCTTAAGGACTGCTGCTGGAAGCCATCGATATCACAATTTTTTTTATATCAAGAACCAAGTCCATCTAGCATGAAGAAAAAGCAAGGAGCTGTCAGGGTTGTAGGCACCATGCATAGGGAGCTGTTTAGGGCAAGAAATCTTGTTCCTGCTGAGCAGTGAGACTGCAGCTCTCACGTAATCCCACAGATACAGACAGCCAGAGGGACCCTGAGCCCTGCTGGGACATCCTGACTGAGAGGAGCTGCTGCACAGAGCACCTCCCACAGAACTCAAAACACAAAGCCAGCCAAGAGTGGGGATGCTTTCAGGTGAGCTGTGGGTCACTGCCCCTGCAGAGCAGCAGAGACCCCATGTGCCCACCACCACCAGTGTCACCACCACCCATGGGCAGCACAACCTGGCATCCATCCCACACTCAGCAGCTCTCTAAAGGCAAGCAGCCATCCATGTCAACCTCGACGCTGAGGTGGGAAGCCAGCTTTCCAAGCAGTTCTTCCAGCAAAGGAAGCTGAGCAAACAAGGTTTCAAATGCTGCTGCCTCAGTGTGCTGGCCTTGGTGCCACCCTGCTGCTCCGGGCTCAGCAGAACGCGGCAGCAGAGCAGACAGGATGAACCACGCCAACCAATTCTCCCCAGGGCAGCTTTCTGCAGGCACAGTGAAATCTGGCCCACGAGGGGAGCGTGCCCCTCCACCCCCCACAGCAATCCTGAGGACCCTCGTGCTCACCGCAGGCCTGACCATAGGCACTGGCTTGAACAAAAAGAACATAGAGGGGAGGCGGCAGGTGCCGGGCTGTCTCGTACTGCTTGTGTGCCTGGTCGAAAGGCATGAAGAGGTACTCCTGGACAGGCAGGGAGGCCTGGAGGAACAGCAGGGACAGCATTCAGGGCCAGGGACAGCATCGATTCCCACTCAACCCCCCCCCCCCCATCCCAAGGCAAGCGGGAGGCTGGAAGTGGCCACGCAGCTGCAGTGCAGTGTGAAATGCAGGGATGGCCACAGCAAACCCACAGCACAGCATGCAGGAAAACTTTTGGGTTTGAAAATAACCCAGTTCCTCCTCCTTTTCTCCCCTCCCAAGGTGATCACAAGGGGCTGGAGCTGCACGCTGCTCTCTGGGGAAAGGCCCATTTAATGAACTCTTCATCTGCAGGAATTGCCGCATAAACAAGGAGGCTCTGGAGGAAACCCAACCAGGCAGGGAGCAGCTCTGACACTTCTGCTTGCTCTGCTGGGATCCTGCACTTTCAGACTGGGATTCAAGCCATGCTGACTGGAAAGGAAAGGGCCCCAGATGCTGTCCCTAACCAACACAACCCCTGGGGCACACCAACTTGCTCCCAAGGCCTTTTCCTTTCCTGCAGGGCTCAGCAAGTACCTGCATAATGCTGTTGAGGCGAGGCTGGAGGCTGCTCAGATACTCCTTTTTCACTTCAATCTCCTTCAGGATCTTCTCCTTGATGGTCTGGCATTCCTTGTACCTCTCTGCCAGTCTAAGGGTGGGAATTGGGTTAGCAGCATACAGCACAGTGCCACAGCCTGCAGGGCCACCTTGGGTCATCAGCCTCAGCTTTCCTGACCTAACAGAAGTCCCTGCAGGAAGTCAGGGCTGACGCAGCGACACACAAAGTGCTCTCAATGCCAAGGACGGGTGGAGGCTGTCAAGAACTCTAAACAAGGGAGAGGAAGTGGAAGCTCAGCTTTGCGTTGTACCTGGAGGAAGGGCAGCAGAGCTTCTCTCAGCAGATCTGCTCCCAAATCAGCTCTGCTGACAGGACACAACTGGGATCCTCCGGACCCTACTAAGCTCCAAAGAAGGCTTCTCCACTTTGTGTCATTCCAGCTACAACTGAGATAAACTCCTGAGTCGAGGCTTAGCACACTAACAAGTGCTCCTCCTCATCTGGCTAGACAGACAAGGAAAATGGAAATTCACCATGACTCTCTGAGCTCTGGTTACACTTCTGTTGAGGGAGAACACACACAGCCTCCTCACTGCTGTTCACTGCCACCTCTCACATAGCAGAGCTGCACAGAGAAAGCAGAGCTTTCGGGCACACCGCCTGGGAAGCACCTGACACAAGAGAAGGAATCCTGCTATGGAGCTCACATGCTCCCCTCTTCAGCCCCTGCTTCCCACTGGTTGAGAACACAACACAGCAAATGCCCCTGTGCTGGCTCAGCACAACAGCTTCCTACACACAGCAGGTCTGAAGTGCAGCTTTCAGACACCGCTGCTGAGCTCTCTGCGATGGAGCCAGAGAGAGGAGCAGAGCCCTCACACCGCTCACGAGGCAGCTTCTGAACTGAGCCCAGACAAATCCAACACACCGCTTAGTGGCAGAGCTGGGAACAGCAACACGACCACTGTGGAGGGAAGCTAACAGCCCTCGGAGCATTGCAAAGTGCCCGCTGCACTCCTGGGGCAGCTGAAAAGACAATTTCCCACCACAGTGACGAAACGTGGTGCTCCTAAACACGGTGGGACGAAGACTGGAAACTACAAAGTTTCCCAGTGTTTTGTTGTGCAATGTGGGGCATGCTCAACTGAATTCTTCTTCACCTTTCACACAGCTTGCAATGAACAAGCAGCACTAATGAGAACCTTAAATCTCCAGGTTGAGCAGTCCTCTGCAAGCTTCTGCAGCACCTCTTATTGGTTATCAGCACAGCTATTCTGAGCGGTGCTGTTCCCACAGCATCTGCTGGCAGCTTAGACTGATCCTTCTGAAACACCTGCTGGATGTCACAAAGAATTATGGTACGTCTGGTTTTCACAAGGGGTGAATCTCCTTGTCTGGCCACGTCAGGGGAGGGACGCTGGGGGTCAGATCCTGCACTGGGATGGTGCCACAAGCAGACAAACCGAGCCACTTAAACTCGTTCCTCACACCACAGCACAGCAGACAGAACAGCCACTGCTTTGCCCTGCGTGGCACATCTTGCAGAACAGGGCTCTGGGCCCAAGTGCGTAACTGCCCATCCTTCAGTATCACCGCCACGCTGGATGGGCGCCTCATTCCCTCTGAGCACACACTGGTCACGCCAGAAACGAGCTACAAAATTAGTTTTCTCCTATTGATGCTTAAGAGCCAGCACTGACGGGCACTGCCTCAAGGAGTGAGCACGTGTGGATTCCCTGGGACGGCTAAAATGCCTTTGTTGTCATAATGCAAGGGGTGAACCTTCATAACCAGGGCACAGCCACACAATAAATCTGCCACTTCCTCCACAGGGGGGATTTTGTAACGCTGTAACAACCTTTACCTTTGCTGTTTGCTTCACCGAGAGGCTGTGCAGGCTGGGCTGTGTGCAGGGAGCACTGTCCTGCAGCGCAGAGAGCAATGAATGATGCAGAATGGACCCACCTCTTACGCTGCTCCAGTTCCCAGTCCAGGCGGGCAAGGGTCTGCTGGTGGGGCTCAGTCAGGGTGATGTCAGGTCGGCTGATTTCGGTGGGAGCCTCGCTGTAAAACTCCTCCAGGCTCACCAGTTCGATCTCCTCATGCTTCGATCTGCAGAGACAGAACAACTGGATCAGGGAAGGGTGGCAAACGCACACAGCCACTCCTCCTCCTCCCCCATCAAACTCACTTGAACTCCAGGCATTTGGTGATCTCTTTCTGCAGGTGCATCACCTCATAAAGCAAATTCTGGAGCTGCAGGTGATAGGCATCAACCTTCTGCTTCGCCTAAAACACAGACACAGCCAGTGAGCACAGCAGGAAGGGACACATGCAGAGAGGATGCACTTGTGGCAACCCCAGTGCTGCAAAGACTCTGTTACCACCCAGGTTTTGGGGAGTGCGAAAACTCAAAAGGAAAAAAGACATTTTCAGGGAGTGTGAAAGCAAACATTCATCGCATTACATTGATCCTGGTGCCTTCTAGGAAGGCAGCCTGGGACAGAAACAAGGCAGACCTGTTAAGGCATGTGGGTCAGATCCCGTTCTATTCCTGTATCCTCAGTAATATAATTAAAATAAACACTGCTCAAATATAGCAGAAAAAATCTTCCAGAAGCATGGCTAAGAATTCTGAGGCCAATCAGCAGATGTTTCTCAGGCTTGCAGCTCACCAGGCTCAAGACCATCTGACTCACCATTACATGACAGGAGAAGACGGCCCTCTTTTGCAAGCCATTGCAACTACAGCCTCTGCCTTCCTGCAGAAAAGCCTCCTAGCAAACCCCCAGCACAGAAAGCACCACCTGGCTGTGGTTTGGTTCTGCACATGCACGCACAGGGAGCAGAAACTGCAGCATCTCTGCTCCTCAGAACCCCCCGTCCTGCGCTCACCGCCCACTCCGTACCTCATGGGTCTGATCTCGGCCCTTCTTCAGCCGAATGTGAGCCAGCCGATTGAGCTTCTTCAGGGTCATGAAGTGCACGCAGCTCTGAACGCGTCGCTCGTCTATCTCAGAGGCCTGAGAGGCAGGAGGGAAATGTGTGAAGCAGCTCAGGCTCACTACAGAGCCCCTGCTGCAGCCTTTTCTTCGAGCACCGAGACGAGCGGGGCTCTGCGCTCCTCTGCAGGGCAGTGCTGGTGTTACTGGGGTTCCAGGGGAGCCTCGCGTTGCTGGACACAACCAGAGGGCTTTCTGGTATCCACAGGAGCTCAGTTCTGCCCCCGAGTCCCAGCTCATCAGCACACTCCCCAGCCATGCCTCAGAGGTCAGTAATTCTGAGCAAAGATCGCTCAGCCAAAGACCACACGCCTCAGCTTCATCATACATAACTTTATTTAACACAGACTGTTCCATTTGCCTAATTTTCCCCAGAACACGGCACGGCTTCTGCTCCTTTCAGATTCCCTGAAAAATAACAGAAAACCAAGCACTCAAGGTTCTCCTTACATTGTCCTTGACGCCTCTGCTCTTCAGCTCCTGGATTTCTGCCATGAGCCTCTGAAGCTCCTGGCACGTCTCTTTGTAGAGCTCATAGTCCTTGATGGGGTCCCGGAGATCAACCTCACACTCCTCACTGTAGTACCGAGCATCCTGCAAAGGGCAAAAGTACCTGCACTGCTCGCTCTTACATGTTTACAAAAAAGGGTAGTGAGAAACACATGGCTGGGCTCAATTCTTTGCTGCATTAGCTTGAGATTTTGTACATTGAATGACAACTCAGTAACCAATCCAGGACACAGACACTGGAAAACACAGGCTGCCTGTCAATGTAGTCAATGCGAGCTGAAAGGGGTGCTGTGCTGCTGCAGTGTGCCGAGGTTACAGCAGAGAAGAAGCCCCGCTGACAGAAGCTGACAAAACTTTGGCCCTGAGCCTCATGTGAGCGTCCCGAGGTAACCCAGGAACACCGAGGGCCCTTCCAGCCTTCTGCTCGCTGCCTCCCTGAGCACCGCGTGTCCTCAAGGAGTCAGAAGGGAGAGGGGCAGTTCAGTTTCCGAGGTGCTGAGGGTTGGCTCTGACCCAGCACCGTTCACCACACACCATTCCCGGCCGCGCTTTACCTGCTCGCCATCGGCCTTGCCCCGCTTGCCCTCCTGCGGGCCCCCATCCGTTCGGATCACTTTGGGCTTCCTCTTCTTGCTGGAGTCCGAGGACATGACGCTGCCGGCCGAGGGCTGCGGACGGGCGGTAAGGCTGCGCTCCGGGATGCCCGGCCGCTCCTCCTCAGCCAGGCCCAGGCGACGCCTCCAGCCCTGCTACCCCCTCGGGGGCACCGTGTCCCGGCCGTTCGCCTCCAGCTCCCCGCTCCCTACCCCCAGCTCCCCCCCGGGACCCCTCCGTCCCCTCCCCGCCCAACCAACACCCCTCACACCCCCACGGGCTCCGGCGAAGCCTCGCGCTCACCCCGCCACCCGCCTCAGCTCCCCCCCGGAAGTGACGTCACGGAGCAGCATAGCGCGGCCCGGAGAGACGCGATGACCAGCGCCCCCTGCCGGGCTGCCCGCTCTTGGAGGACCGTGGCCGGAAGAGCCCGACTAGAGCTGCACTGGGCGTGGCCTTGCGCCCGAAGGGGGCGTGGTCTGTCAGAATGTGGGCGTGGTTTGCACAAAGGGACGTGGCCTATGGCCTCATTGGGTGGTGCGGTGCGGGCTCCCCGATAGCATCAGGGACACCGAGGGTGCAGAGGGCACTCTCGATGGTCTCAGCATAAGGACACCTCATGCGTGAGGGTCCCCGTGTCCCCAGTGCTCCCTTCTCCCCAGACACGGACACTGGCAATTAAATATTTAATTGGTGACATCCCACAGCCCGGCGGGGACACGCATCCGACGAGCAGCTCGTTAGCAGTAATTATGAGCAGCCCCCAGCTCACCTCTCAGGAGGGCTTCTGAGGGTTTGCCCCCAGCATGGAGGGCCAATGGCAACACGGGGTGCACTGCGGCACCTGCAGGTCCCCACAAACAGGGGGCAGCTGAGCCCAGGGGGTCGGGCTCTCACCCTTTCCCCCCCCTGCCCCCTTCAAGACACCCCAAAATGGGAGAAGACGCCCCCAGCACTTCCCAGCAGAGCTGGGGCAGGCAGCACGTGTCCCAGTTCATTGCAGCGGGGAGATCTTCAGGGGGATCATGATCCGGGACTCCATCGTCCGAATCAGCGGCACTGCACAACACAACGGGGGTGGGGTCACCTCGCAGCTCTGCCACAGGGACAGGGACAGCCCCAGCCCCTGTGCTCACCCGTGTAGTAGACATTCTCATCCCAGCCCCGCTTCCTCCACGCCGCATTCCTTGTCTCCTCACGGGACTGCAGGTCCTTGTAGGCTGCAAGGAGGGAAACCTTGTTCCTAACCCCCCCCTGCAGCCCCTGGGGAATGGTGTATGGGCTTTGGGGTGCACAAGGTGGTGGGGTGCCAGTGTGGGGTGGGTGAGATGAACGTGATTACCCCAGAGGTGGTGCACGACATACAGCTCCCCGATCTGAGAGAAGAAGCCGCCCACTGCCTCCTGGTTCTCCTGGCGGTACTTTATGGCCCGAGCCCTGGTGAGATGGAGAGAAACACCAGGGCTGGCACAGCTCTCCCTGCGCTCAGCTCTTATGTCCCCGTGCTGAGAGCGGCCAAAGCTTCATCTGTGCCACCACCACAGGAACAAGGATGCAGGAATGGGTCCAAGGGCCAGCATCACCTGGCCATATGCAGAACACCAGTTGCATAAAGCAGCCACTCACCAGTTATTGCCCCACTCGATCATGGTCCCTGGCTGCAAACAGAGGAAATAAACAACAGGATAAGGCAGCTGCACCCCAAGTATCACCTTCTCCCTCTGCCCAGGGCCAACTCACAGCCAGAGCGCAAGTGACCCCAAACACCTGCAGATCACAGGCTGCTTTGCAGACCCCAGCACATATAGCAGGGCTCTGGGATCCCCTGGGTTCCAGTGCCATGCCTGGGATGAAACATTTCATGCCTCACCTTGAGCTTGTAGGTCCTCAGCTCGTAGATGTTGGGCCCCTTGCGGGGCAGGGGCTCATTCCAAAAGCTGAACTCCAGCAGCAGTTGGTTCCTGCGGGACAGCAGCATGTGGCTCCTCTCCTTGCGGAAATCCAGGTACTCCTGTGGACAGCCGAGACTCAGGGCAAGATGATGGGAGCATGGACACCCCACATTTGGCCACCAATGTGAGTGGTACCTTATTCTGCTTCAGCTTGTTCATGCAGTCCATGAGGGCTGGGTACCCACCAGAGAAGCGCCAGAGGTGCACTGGGATGGGACAGTAAGGTCTGGCAGAAGGGGAAAGCACCAGGGAGCCCCCCTCCCGAATGACCAGGATTCATCCCACATCCCCTCAGGGTCACGGCCATACAGGGTCGTCTGCTCCTGCAGAAATGCAGCCCTCACCTGCTTGGTCCTGCTCCCCATACCACGTATTCCAGTTCCCAACCAGGTCACAAGGGTAATCGGCATCTGAGTGCAGCTTGGGCAGCACCTCCTCCCTGCAGGAGGTACAGGAGGTGGTTTATGGGGTGCTCCTGGGCTGCCCCAGATGGGAGAAAGGGGGCAGCTGGAGCTGGCAAGCAGCAGCCGCGTCTCTCTCAGCAAGAAAAGTGCTGAGTTTCTGACCCCAGAATGCTCCCAACATCCCCATTTGCCTTCTCAGCCCAGCACAAGAGATTCCAAAATCCCCCCGACACCCCCAATTGACCCCCTCCCAGTCCCCAGGAGATAGTGGGCAGTCCCCCAGCTCACGTCAGGCTGTTGTAGGCATCCAGACATTCTGGCTTCACATTGTGAACTGTGGGGGAAAGATGGCAAGACGCAATGTCACAAGAGAGAGCAGGATGAGCGGCTGCGTTATCAAGCTGCAAGGGCCTGGGAGGGGTGTGCACCCTCTGCCTGTGGTGTCACTCACACTGGATCTTGTAGAGGTTGCTGGTCTCTTTCTTGGACAGAAGATTGGAATGGGCATCCTTGCGTGGATCCACCTTGTGCACAAACAGGGAGCGGAACCAGCTGCCCTCAGCATCCTGTGAGTATGCCCTGCGGGACCACGCTGTCAGCAGGGCTTGGGGGGGGATTGAGGGGGGGAGGATACAGCTGGGCACAATGGCTGTGGTCTGATGTGGGGGGAAAATGGGAAGCAGAGGAGGGATCTTGTTCCATTCCCAACCCAGCCCCAGGGCTGCGTGCTCCCTCACCCAGTGATCCCCAGGGAGAGGTCTCATTCATTTCGCGGTGGCCCTGCCCAGGGGTGTAGGGTGACAGAGATGACACAGAGGCAGTGCACTCGGTCAGACCTTTGCCCACAGAGCGGCAGGGCCTGGTAATGTATTAACGGCGTGGGGTCAGCGGCCCTGGACGCTCAGCGAGGGCACAGGGTGACAGCAGGCCCTGAACCACGGCGGGGGGAGATGGGGTGGGAGATAAAGGGGTTGAGATTGGGGGAGATGGGGCTGAGATAAGGGGAGATGGATGCTGGAGGGGGAGATGAAGGCCGAGGGGAAAGACTGGGGGAGGGGGGTTGGGGCCTTCTAGGGGAAAGATGGGTGCCGGGGGGCGAGGAGAGCTGAGGGGGGGGGTGGGAGCTGAGAGGAGGACCAAGGGAAGGGCGGAAATGGGGCCTGGGGGGAGACAGGAGCTGAAGGAGAAGAGATGGGAGCTGCGGGTTTCTGGGCCTGAGGGAAAAGATGGGCCTGGGAAAGAAACGGGGCGTCGGGGGAATGATGGGACCTGAGGGGAATGATGGAGCCTGGGGAGATGATGGGCCATGGGGGGTTCCGGGCCGCGGGGCGGGCAGGGAGGGGCCGGGCTCCGCTCACCGCGCCCCGCCGAGGGCCCCGCAGCCGCCGCCGCCTTGCAGCCGCCGCAGCAGCACCGCACCGCCTCCTGCCCGCGCCGCCGCCATCTTCCCGGGGCGGGGCGCCTTGGGGCGTGGTTAAATATAGCCACGCCCACCATCGGACTCTGCCCCTCATCGGGCGTGGCACCGCGCTGGCCCCGCCCTCAAAAGCTGGCGTGCAGAAGGGTGATTCTGATTGGCTGCCGCGCCGACCCGTTGGCCACGCCTTCTCTTCCGTCCTCGAGCCCCCGGCTACCCACAATGCTTTGTTCCCACGGCCACAGAGAGATCTCATTGGCTGCCGCCTGCGCGGCCGTGCCTCCAGATGCCAGCAGCCAATCAGAGGTCTCCCTTGGAAAAGTCGGTTCTTGATTGGCTGCGGTGCCTTCTTTTGCATCCCTAAGCCCTCCTACGGCCGGCGGCGTCAGCTGTTGATTGGTCGTTGCCACGGAGGGGCGGAGCTGGCCGTGAGGCGGGGCTTCCTCCGGGGCGGGCGTGCTCGGGAGCGCTGGGCGGGGCGGGGCCGGGCTGGGGGCGGGGTTAAAGCACTGATAGCCCCCAGCCCCGCCTGTGGGAGCCGTGCGACCCCCCCACCCATAGCTCCCCATGGACTCCCGCTTCCCTCCATCACTCCCTACAATCCCCATTTTGTGCCTCACAACCCCTCATTGCCCCCCTTAGCCCCATGTGGCCTCTCCGTAACCCTCCATAGTCCCACCTTGGCTTCCATAGGCCCTCAAGACCTCCTGTGGCCTTCCCTTATCTACTCCATACCCCCCCATTGTCCTCCACGACCGTAGCCTCCTTGTATCCACCCATGACTTCTCTATGGCTTTCTGTGACCTCCTTGTAAACCTCCATAAAGCTCCATAACCACCCATAGCCCCCTATAGCCCACCATTACCCCTTCCATGCCCCCTATAGCCCCTCCATATCCTCCCCCACGCGGCCCCTATATTCCCCATGAGCCCCCATAGCCCCCAGCTCCCCCTCCCCCCATGTTTCCCAGTTTGGGGCTCACCCCCCCAGGGGTGAGGCAGAGTGCCGCAAACTGCACATCCAGGCCCCCAGCTCCTCAGGGCTGTCAGCCCCCAGCACGTAGCTCCGCATCCCGGGGTGCTCGACCTGGGGGAGCAATGAGCCAGCAATGGGCCTGGACCCCCGCTTTCTCCCCCCAGCACTTATTCAGCCACAGCACCCCAAGACCCACATGGTGAACTGGGCTTTGGGGTCCCAACCTCGGCTGCAGAACGGCAGCTGTTGTTGCCCCCTGTTTGGGAGTTCCCCCCCCCGACTGACCGTGAAGAGGAAGCGAGGGCTGCTGGTGTTGGGGGCCAGGACGCGGATCCTGTAGCCAGGTAGGGGGAGCCCCCCCCGTACTCGCTGCTCGCTGCTGTCTGAGGGCAGGGGAGGATTCAGGGGGGCAGCCCCAGGGACCTCTCCGAACCCTGCAGAGCTCCAGTCCTATGGTGGGGGCTCCACTGACCCCCTGAGTTCCCCCAGACCCTGCCCCAGGGAGCCCCAAGAAGCCCCTGACCCCTGTCACAAGCCCATCCCCTGCCCCTCGCCTCACCCCTGTAGTAGTAGAGGCAGAGATCAACCAGCACAAACCAGCGCCGCTTCCAGAGCCTCAGCCCTGAGCTGTCCTGGGGAGGTAAAAAGGGGGCTGAGCCAGCACCCCAAACACAGAGCCCCCTGAGACCTGTCCCAAACCCGTTGGATCCCCCCAAAACCTACAACCCACCAGCTTCTACAGCTTCCCCCCAGACCCCTCCAACATTCCCAAACATCTCCAGGACCCATAACCCTCCCCAGACTTCTCCAAACTCCATAACTCCATTAGGAATCCCCTAAACCCAGACCCTACCCCTAACCTCCAGCACCCACTGACCCCCCACAAGCCCTTCCGGCCCCCCCCCCCCCCCCAATCCCCTAATCTTTCCCCAGCACACCCTACTTCACAGTCCCCCTGAATCCCCCCTCCCCAGTCACCTGTGGTCCTACAACCACGCACCCCCCCCGTCCCGCTGTTCCCCTCAGCCCCACCTGCTTGTGCAGCCAGCCCCGCATGGTGGGGGGGATGTGGGGGTCTCTCCTCATTGCCTGCTCCCCCTTTCCAAAGGTGTGGATCCTCGGCACAGGGCGGCAGGGCTGTGCACAGGGCATTACCAGGGATGGGGTCTTAAAGGGATTCCCTCAGGTCCCTGTGCCCCCTTGCCTTGTTACCCTGGTTCCCCACTCCCCAGGGTCCCCTTTCACTCCCTCCCATGTTTGTCTTAGTCCCTCATGCCCCCTGGTCCCCCCTGTGCTCCCACAAAGCTCCCCATGTCCCGTCAGCCCCCAGTCTTCTCCATAGCTCCCTTGGGCTCCCCATATTCCCCATAGACCCCCATGCCCCCACTGCCCCCCAGGTACTCTCATACTATCCCACAGATCCACAGATTCCCTTTGTACCCCATATCCCCCATAGCTCATCATGCCTCTCCCAGACCCTCCCTTAATTCCCCATGCCCATCTGATCCCCCCTTACACCCTCCGTATTTCCCCACATGCCTTCTACTAATTTGGGTCCCCTTGGACTCCTCCATACCCCCCCA